AGATTTCGACCGGGTAATTCATTTGCTATTTTGTTGCTCTATGTGGAAGATATTCTAATAGCAAGCAACAATGTCGAAGAGGTAATGAGGGTGAAGGCTGAACTTAATAAAGAGTTCGACATGAAGGATCTGGGAGCTGCGTCCAGGATTCTTGGGATTGACATCCGGAGAGATAGAAAGCAGTTGAAATTATGTTTATCTCAAGAGGCATACCTACAGAAGGTTCTCGAAAAGTTTGGTATGTTGAATTCAAAGCCTGTTGTGACTCCGACAAACCCTCAATTCAAGCTGAGTATAGATCAGTGTCCCAGCACTGATGTTGAAAGAACTTATATGAATAGCATTCCATATGAAAACATAGTAGGTTCTTTGATGTATGCTATGGTTTGTACTAGACCTGACATAGCATATGCAGTAAGTCTTGTAAGCAGGTACATGGCGAATCCTGGAAAGGCTCACTGGCAAGCATTGAAGTGGATTTTAAGGTACATAAATGGCTCTCTGAATAGAGTCCTAATTTATGGTGGAGCCTTAGGTGAAGATAGTAAAGCAGCAATCGAAGGATATGTCGACTCTGATTATGCAGGTTGTATGGATTCCAGAAAATCTATCTCTGGATATGTGTTCACTATGTTTGGGACAGCAATCAATTGGAAAGCAACACTTCAGAAATTCGTTGCCTTATCAACCACTAAAGCGGAGTATATTGCCTTAACTGAAGCTGTGAAGGAAGCATTGTGGCTTGAAGGTTTTGCAAAGGAGCTAAAACTTCAAGGTCGAGTTATCACTGTTAAATGTGATAGTCAAAGTGCAATACACCTGTCGAAGAATTCAGCCTATCATGAGCGAACCAAGCACATTGATGTGAGGCTGCATTTCATCAGAGGAGTAATCAAGTGTGGAGAAGTCCAAGTGTTGAAGGTTTCGACAGATCATAATGTTGCTGATATGATCACCAAGACGTTGCTCAGTTGCAAGTTTTTCCACTGTATGCAGTTAATAAAGCTACATGAAGAAAGCTAGTTTCTTGATGTTATAGAGTTAGATCCAAGGTGGAGATTTGTGAGACGTTGGATTGAACTCTAGTGTTGTCGAAGTCTGTTCGCAAGTAATGCGTGTTGTAGTCGAAGTTTGTTCTAACATGCATTAGTCAATATTGCTAGGGTTGTTAGCATGTTGAATTGGGCCTTGCTTGTAAGCCCAATTGTTTAAGTTAGCTTGTACCCTAAGTTGGCTTGTAATGGGTAATTGTTAAAAAGCCCATTAGGTTAGTGTGCTATTTTTCTTATAAATAGGATGCTGGTTTCTCAATCTTTGTATAAGGAAAAATAGGAAGATAAAATCCTAATTTCAAGGGAGAGAGGTTATTTTGTTATTCTTGTATACTTGTAATCTTGTTCTAAGAGAAAGGAAAGAATAGTAGTTTAATAACCAATCCTTGTTGTTCCTTGTTGTTTTACCTTGTTTTCTTTGTTAACCCTAACCCTTGTGAGTTTCTTGATCATTAAGAAACCGTTTATACTTTGTTTAAAGGTATCCGATTCACAACAAAAGGGATGTTAAAATTTTTTTTTTAAACCATGACATAGAAGAAGAAATATATATGGACCAACCATAAGGGTTTTTAATTCATGGGCAAGAAAACAAGGTATGTAAGTTAGATAAGTCTTTGTATGGTCTAAAACAAGCTCCAGCACAATGACATGAGAAGTTTGATAACTTATTGATATTGAATGGGTACAAAGTGAATGAACGTAACAAATGTGTTTATTATAAATTTGAGAATCGCATTTGCACTATCATATGTCTCTATGTAGATGACTTACTCATATTTGTGTCAAACCTTCATGTAGTTAATGATGTGAAATCATTTTTGTGAAACAACTTTGATATGAAAAACCTCTGAGAAACGAGTGTGATTTTTGGAACCAAAATCACTATATCCAAAAAAGGAATTTCTTTGGATCAATCTCATTATGTGGAGAAAATCTTAAAGAAATATAATTACTTTGACTGTAAATATGTGTGCACGCCATACAATCCAACTGTGAAACTGTTTAAGAACACTAGTGAAGGTGGCAGACAAACAGAATATGCGAGCATCATTGGAAGTATTAGGTATGCCTCTGATTGTACTAGACCCGACATTACATATGTCATAGGATTGTTGTACAGGTTTACTAGTAGACCGAGTAATGAGCATTGTCAAGCTATTTAGCGGGCCATGCGGTACCTTAAAAGGACCATGAATCTCAGTTTAGATTATCCGAGGTTTTGTTTTGTACTCGAAGGATGCAATTATGCAGATTGGAATACCTTATCAGATGATTCTAAAGCAACTAGTAGTTATATATTTAACATAGCTGGAGAAGTTGTATCTTGGAAATCAAAGAAACGGATTATCTTGGTTTAGTCCACGATGGAGTCTGAGATGATAGCATTCGCGACTTCTAGTGAAGAAGAAAATTTTTTTAACATGCTTGCTAGCTGAGATCCCTTTGTGAAAAAAACTTATGCCAACTGTGTTGATCCAGTGCGATAGTACAGCGACTATTGAAAAAATTGAGAATCATTATTATAATGGGAAAAGACATCAAATTAAAAGAAAGCATAGCATTGTTAGAGATTATATCTCTAAAGGAGCTATAAGAATGTATCATGTACTCAATGATGAAAATTTAGCAGATCTTTTGACGAAAGGGTTAGTTAGAGAAAAAGTCCATAATACATCCAAGAAGATGAGACTAATGCATATAGAGAAATGATTTGCTTGTGATGGTAACTAGACCTAAATAGTTGAAGATCCCAAAAAATAGGTTTAATGGGTAATAACAAGTTATGAGTATTATGAGATGATCCTATGAGTTTAAATAAGTAAAGCATGAATCTTGAAGCAATAAGAGGATGAGATAATATAAGTTCTTAATGAGATATATATACTTCGTATGAGGGTGTACCTAGGCTACAGGAGTACTTTTGATGTACTCACATATGTGATTGTGAAACTTAGGTTGGTTCCTATAAAATTTCGAGGCAGAATTCATAAAGTCTTCATTAAACTGGGATTCACGTGCATATTAAAGTACGGGTTATTAAAATACACATTAAGAAAATTGTGTGTGCGAGTTTGATGTTTAAGATAGAGTTCAATACAATTGTGTCACTCTTGTTGAATTAAAATCATATTTGCTACACAAAGGTTCAAGTCGTAGACACCTTTGTTTATGCACAATTTTAGAAACGTTTGACGTTACTTATGAAACACTTTTAAATTCAAGTGGGGATTGTTGGAACATTATATCAATATTCCAATATATAAAGATGAATTTGAAAAAGTTCTCTAATTTCCACGTTGTGTATTAATTGAAAAAACTCTTTATACTCACATTGCTTAGATGAAATATTTTGGCTAGCTCACTTCATTATATAAGGAAATTCTCTATTTTATTCCAAACAAAAACACACCAAAAACTCCTTTTATTGAATTTTTCCTTCCTCACTCTTATAAATATGCGTCTTTCGAATTATCGAAGCGCCAACTTCTCCCCGTTTCTTTCTACTCGATGAATTTTCCGAATATTTTCTTGAATTCTCTTCCGAATATTTTCTTGAATTCTCTTTAAATAATTATGTTAATTTCTCCTTGTTTGAGTTGAAAAATTACAAGTATTAATTTTTGAATTCTCTTTGAAAAATTATTTGAATTTCTCTTGTTTTGAGAAATTATTTCGAGTGGTCAAAATGACCATTATTGAATTCTCTTTGGAGAATTATTGAAATTTCTCTTGATTTGAGAAATTATTACGACCGATCGTTATACCAGATATTATAGGTGATATTTATATCATATGGGTGTATTTCTAGACCGATTATCTACCGTGCAAATAATAATTGTATAGTATAGAACAGGATTGTTTTATCTTAGAAGTGGCGCGATAATTCGACTGCTTTATATAATTTTAGACAGTACCACAAAACGTCTTAAAAAGAGCGACCTAATCCGCGACTCGACCCAATAATTTCTTCTGAGGTTGATTTTCAAAACCGTGAGACAACAATTCATTCATGATCACATCCTAATCCGCAACTCGACCCGATAACTTCTTCTGAGGTTGATTTTCAAAACCGTGAGACAACAATTCATTCAATGATCACATTGTGATTGCTTGTACTTAATGAATCGAGCTTACAACATCATAACCATTCTAATTGGTTAGTGAATATAAGTGTTATTTGTACAAGTAAAATAACTAACTAAGCTTAGTTGTTCCTTATAAAGCAAGTAACACACATACATCACTTAAATTACATATCACTTATTTAAATTACATTTCAACACTCTAAATTCAAAGTCTTTAGACTAAGTACATTAATCATTTTTCTGAATTTCTCAATCTTCAATAGTTTGCTTAGAAAATAACTTGAACAATTGTCTTGCAGTATGTCAGGATGATCTTGCCCTTGGTTAGTAGATCTCCAATCATTGGCACATCTAAATTTAACCTCTCTTTCATACTGCAAAGATCTGAATTTAAGTTTATCAACTCACAATTTAAAGGAACCTTCCAATTTGATATCATCAAGGAACACAATGGAACTGAACCTTTTCCATTTTGATATCATCAAGGAACACATGCTTAAATAATAAACAGTTGAACAATGGTGGTAATGATTGACCTAATTGCTGAAACAAAGTTTTGGCTTTAGAAAAAATATTTATAAATGAATAGTGCTAAGTAAACACCGAAGAACAACATGACACTGTATTTTATACAGTTATTTGAATTTTTATATATTTTTCTTCCACTTCGGCTTGCGTGCAAAGACAAACTTAGTTACATAGCTCACATGATGTTATAGATGTCATGGGAGAGATGTTATTTTGTGTTTGCATAGAATGACTATTTACAAATTGAAGGGGTAAGATACACAAGGTGACAATTCCCTTGACAGGGATAAGAACCTGTAGTGAGGTAACTGTAGTGCTTGCTATGTGAATACTAGGCTAAATGATTTGCTTGAGATCGATGGATTTCATCAGCGCGGGCCGAAGGAACATAGATTGCATTTAACAGTGAACTGTGAGTTCGTCCGTAGAACAGGTATATAAGTAGTCCGATTAACAGCCACAGAGAAACTCTCAGCCATGTAGCAGCCCTGAAATTCAAACACGAGATTAATAAGATGTTAGTAACGCAATTTATGCATGTTGTTATGGATTAATGTCAAGAAATTTCTCACCCAAGATCAATTAGTAAGTAGGTGTTTATAAGAATGCTGGCAGCTGGTAGGAATGGAACAAATGGGCAAGCAAAACCTGAAATACAAACAGCGTTACGCGTAAAATGAAGTTTTAGAAAACCACCAACATAAGATTAGATTGGATATTTAGATTTGTCTGGTGGTGCACATACCTCCCGAGTGTCCAAAGCTGTGTCGGGTATCGTCTTGCTTTATGCAGGCCAGTACAATTATGCTGCACAAAAGAACAATTACACCCACGCCAAACAATGTTACGCGCAAAACCCTGCATATACACAAATAATCGCCAGAAAGGAACAGGAGTAAAGATAAAGAACTAACTCAAAGGAACAGGAGTAAAGATAAAGAACTAACTCAAAGGAGACACTGTTCTTTCCAAAATGAGTTCCGCGTGATTTCATACTTCAAGATTAGCAAATATCGTTAAAAGTTTACATACCTGGGACACCTTTCGACTGAAGCTGCATAGGTTACCATGAGAATCCCTATACATAGAAAGGATATGCTCCAAGCGGCATGTTTTCTCCTAGTATTCTCAATCTGTTCTTCTGTATAATGAAGTCAAAACTCAATTTTATGAACTAGCACTTCATTAGAAAAAAATGGAAGCAAATGTTGATAAAAAGAATAGCAAAAACTTATTGACAAAATTGAAACAACACAAAATATAGATTCAAACTTTCAAAACTACGCGTGTGAAATGTAGATTGAAAGTTTCAAAGGAACTGAATCATCAAGTAGCCCGGTTCATAATTAATGAAGATCGATCATCAGTGTATCACATGAGAGGAGCATGATGCCTAATTATAGATGATTTATAAAGTCGTAATTCAAATCACAAGAATGGGTTCAAACATGAAAATGACACCCTGAACTATCAGTGTTAATATGTGTTGTAAATAGACTTTAAATAGTAATATTTGTAGTTATTTTTATATTATAGTATGTGGTCTCTTAGACAAAACTCATTCGGTTTAGAATTTACTCTATTTAAACATGTTAGCTATTGTATTGTTATTACAACACTAACATATATAAGAAGCCCGTTAAGTCTAGAATTTGCTCTACTTAAACATATTAGCTTAAACAAGAATTACCTTTGGTCACTTCTTTTATGATTAAAGGATGTTCAAGCCGGGCGTCTGGCTTGTCATGTAGATGACTATTATCAAAATAACTAGCAAGATCTACAGGACTCGTGGTCGTTATATCACCACTAGATTGGTTCAATAATGGATCAACAGATGTTAGAAGTGAAGCTGGAATTGGAACTTCATTAGGTGGAACATATCTGATTATCAAAACTGAAAGTGGAACTGTGGTAAATGCAAGCAATGTTCCCACGCTAACCTGTATTCCGAAAGCAATGGATATAATAACAGTTTAAGTTTATAATAATCTAAGAAAGAAGTGGCGACCAAGTTATTGTCATGATTTATTGTACAACTAAAGTAAACTAACCATTCCTGCTAACTGAGAAACATCCATAAAGAATGCAAGAACAGCAGCAAAAAGACCAGTGACAATAGTGCTTTTCAAAGGAACCTGTGTGCGCCTATAGATATCTGAGAAGAAGGAGGGTAGAAGACCATCCCTAGCCATTGCCATAAAGAGCCGTGGCTGCGAAACACCCGTGTCAATGGAATATATATTTATCAAGTGCAAGAAACCATAATGGTATCCAGTATTAATGTGCACTAACATGTCTATGTGTATCTTAGATAGTTATATCGAAAACACTTGGGAATATTTGTGAATATGAAATTTGATATGATTTCAATCTTAATTCCTGACATCCAATTAAAGCTTTCCTTCTCACTCAAAAGTCCAGAACAAGTACGAAGATGACAACAAAAACAACTTAGTAACAAATTAGAGTAAGAATGAAAAGAAATGGAAAAATAATTTAGGTTGTAAAAATCCATAACCAAAGCCTAAAAGCCATAACCAAGTGAAGTGATTAATAGATATTCTAAAGAAATAAATTATTAAATCTTTTTTACTTGGGTATGTACGTACCTGAGGAAGAACTGACCCCAACAAACTGGAAAAAAGAGCAGTGACAGCTCCGGTTGTTATTATGTACCTGTCATCAGTAAAATAAATGTAAATTGAAGCATAATATTCAGAAGAGTCAATCAAATATTTAGATTGTTTAAACAATAAAACAGTATGCTCTAGCAAACCTTACACTGCCCATTCCATCCCATAGGTAGAAAATGCTGAGGAGATTGGGGTGTCAGGGTTCAATGCATAATACGGTACTAAGCCAACAATAACTGCTGATACAAGCATATACAGAATGCAGCATATAGCTAATGAAGTTGATATGCCAATTGGCAAATCTCTTTGAGGATTTTTGACCTGCACAATAACAATAAAAATCTTAAATAACAAAAATTTGAAGAAAATGGTGTTTCACGAATACAGTACAATATAAAAGCCTTAAATAACAATACGATATTAAATGCATTTTCAAGAATGCATGTGTGCTTAACAAAAATTTGAAGAAAATGATGTTTCACAAATACAGTACAATATAAAAGACTTAAATAACAATACGATATTAAATGCATTTTCAAGAATGCATGTGTGCTTTTATGAGCCTTGCATTTAGTTTCTGCCGACACGAATTACAATTGACATAAAAGATCAGTCCCCCTTGGGAATATTCACCTCCTCAGCTGTACCAGAAACTGTATCAAAACCAATGTATGAAAAGAAAATGATTGCAGACCCAGCAAACATCCCATTCACTCCATAAGGAAAATACCTGAGATATAAGAGAAAGTTCAGCTATATCAAGAAGAGTAATGAAAAAGATGAAGAGCTGAAAATGAAGACTCAAACATCCATTACCCGCTCGGGAGACCAAAACCAACCCATCCGGTTTGGAAACCTAGATATCCACCAACTGTAATGATGAATAGCATGACAGATACATTTATGGTTGTCGCAATGGATTGTACCGTTGAACTCTGAAACATCAATTAAGATAAATAGATCAGTACAATAAGATAGGTAATTAGAAAAATGGTGATCGTGTGTATGTGTTTTAGTTGAAAATCCATACCTCCTTGATTCCAAGGCACAAGGGGATGGTAATAAGAATAATTAATACAGCTGCACATGGATCAACCACTATTCCAAGACCTGGTAAGGTATGACGAGCCAGAAATGAAGGTAGGTTGTCTTGACCACCAAAAAACAAGGCCTGCAATAAGCAAGAACAAAATAAATACAAAACCAAATTGTTAAGTGTGGTGTTCTTGTTGGAATGAAGTATCTTGTACTCCCCCGGCTTTGAATATAAGCAAAAGTCAAAACGTACCAAATACGTTTTGGCTTTTGCTTATATTAAATATAAGACCGGAGGGAGTATATATGCATCACCAAGAGTAAAAAAAAAATCAAAATACATTCAGGATACCCATGTCCTACAATTCATGAGTCGTGATAACCTATAATTTGTATGTGTTTGATTACTCTCTTAGTGCATTCTCAACTACAAAGTACCATGATGGTAAAAGAGAACATGCGAGATTAAAATTAAGAAAAATGGAAGTAAAAAGTATAACAAACCAGATTTGGGGTTATGCCGCGGGCAACAGCTGAAGCACCGATTGTATATTCTAGAATCAGGGACCAACCTACCAACCAAGCAACCCTGAGATAAATAGAAATGGTTAAATCAAGGATTTTATTAATAACAACGAAAACTTAATAAGGAGCAAAATCATTCAAACATGTTAATTGTTAAGCATAAATTCCTTCAATCTTTCATTCAAAAAAAAAGAAACATAAGTCACCCTTCTCCAATGCATATGTAGGTATAATGATAAGCACTCCCTGCCGACGGACATCGACATGCAAGTTCTGCATAACAGAAAGCTGATAGTGCGGCGGCTATTCCTGCAATTAAGATTGATAATACAAGTGCTGGCCCTGCCTGCTCCCTAGCAACTGTTCCAATAAGAATATACACTCCAGCTCCTATTGTAGCTCCAACCCCTGATTTTCAAGAATGATCAAGATCGTTACTTGGTAAAAACTAATAAGAAGCCAAACCCTACAAATCAATCAAAATCAACAAGATCATTACTTGGTAAAAAAATGAAATTGAAAATGAAGAATTACCAATTCCAACAAGATCAAAAACAGATAACTTCCTAGCCAATTGAGGATGACTCCTGAAATGAACAGAATCAACTTGCTTCCTCCTAATGAAGCTTCCAAATCGCCTAAGCCACCCTCCGTATCTTTCTCCAGCACCAATACCCTCATTCCCAATATTCACAATCATTATCCGAATTCCCAATTCAAATACAATAATATACAAGTTCTATTATCGAATCGTTGGTGCTGTTTTTGCGTGATGAACTTTAATTTGAAAATAGGAAGAAAATTTGTTGAAACCCAGAAAAAAATTTTATCCGGAAAATTTCACCTACTTTGACCCTTTTGGTTTTGAGAGGAAAAGGAAAAGACCAAGAATGAAGCGCGATGACTCAGCAGTTATGTTTCGTACACATCAACGACGCAAAACAGATAAGATCTAAAAAAGAAGATTATCTGCGGTGACATTTTTCGTCATTCTTTTTTTTTATAAAATAATACAAATTTTAAATTTATTCTTTTACTAGCATATGCATTGTGACCACCAATCACTTATATGTAATCCGTCAAATCAAATTTTTAGTTTAAAATTATTATGTTATGAAAGTAGAATTGATTCAAGAAGAAAGTTGCTATTGGATGTCTAATTCAATTTTTAGTATGTTGTTTTTAAAAGTTTAGGATGCGGTTATTCATAGTTTACTAAGTGGTTAGTAATAGTTTAGTAGGTGGTGATTCGATAGTTTCACGTCTCATTAATGTTAGCTATGCATCTGATTAATGTTAATTATGTATGTGTTTATTAATTAGAAGTTAGTTGTTTGGTTGTATGATCTTATATTAAAAAGAGTGTAACACATGTTTGTAAAAACTTAATTTCATTTTAATAATACTTTATTCTCTCAATTGCTCTTGATTCTTTTATATTTTTTTCAATTTGCAAATGAATTATAATTCAAGTTGTCTAATAAATTGGTATTTAGAGCATTGGTTTGATCTTCTCTATCCATGGCAAACGAGAGTACAACCTCCAACCAGTTCTCAATTAATCTACATGTTTTCAAGGAAGAAAATCATGATATATGGTGTGCGCATATGAAAGTTCAAATTTTAAAATATGCTTGAAATTGTGGATGATCGTTTCTTGGCATTAAAGACAAATGTTACTCAGGCGCAAAGAGTTACTCATCGTGAATTGAGCTACAAAGATGGGAAATACTTATTATTTATTCATTAGTGTGTAGATTGAAATGTCTTTGAGAAGATCATTCAGCAAGAAACAGGCAAAGATGTGTGAGATACTCTCACGAAGTTGTATGGTGGGGATGAGAAATTAAAGAAAATAAAATTGCAATCTTTGAGGAAATAGTATAAGAATTTGCTTGTGAATGGTGGTAAAGCCATTGTTAGTTCTTCTCAAATTTGGGGGTTCTAACAAACCAAATTAAGTCGTGTGAAAAGAAGATCTCTGAACTACAGAAAGTTGAGAAGTTTCTAAGAGTTCTTCTTTTCAAGTTTGATCACATTATTATGGTCATTCAGGAGTTTAAAAATTTGTCTGAGATGAAGCCTGAAGAATTAGAAGCGTCTCTTAAAGCGCATGAGTTAAGGCTAAACAAATAAATTTAAATAAGGTGTCTGGACAAGTTTTGCAAGCTAAATTCTTCAAGAAAATGAAAGAAGATTCCTCAAATAACAACAAGGTTAAATAAAAATGAAAGAATGAGTGAAATGAAGTTGTTGATGATGGCAAGGTTTCAAGAAGTTAAAGTGAAACTAGTAAGAATGGTGCAGCTGTTAGCTCACAAATTTGACGCCTAGTTTGAATTAATGGAAACAATTAAGAAAAATAATTTATATGAAGTTGTGAGAATCTTCGACAAAATTGTGAAACTTATTTGTTTTGGTCGAAGTCACATTTTTGTACAAGGAGAATATGCTGAACGAATTTGGAAAATATTCTAAGTCTTGGAAGTTGGTTCGACAGAGAATTACTGCTGGTATTTTCGACGTAAGATTTGAATTCAAATGGAGGAGAGAAGTTTGTTCTTATCCAGATTTTTTTAAAAGCGACACATGGAGCATTTTCAAGGAAAGAAAGCATGTTGAGCGTCACTTGTCTTATTTTTGTAGGAAGGTTGTTAGGGGCAGTTATTTCGATCATTATAAATAGGAAGTCTTAGTGTTAGGATTAGTGTGTTCAAAGTTGTGCAAAACCTCTAGAATTACTCAAAGTACCTGTGTGTAGAGAAAAGAGTGTGTCGAGAAAATGTATGTTTGACAAAACACCATACATATACACTTTAATTCAAGTTTTATCTTTTTATCACAAGTTTATCTTCTTTACTGCCCAAGTTATTTTTAATGCGTTGACTTGCTTTTGATTAAGTTTCTGCAATTTACTTTCTTTGAATTTATAAAGTTGTTAACTTTTAGATCATGAATAATGTCGAAGTATTCACCAATTTCCAAACGCTATTTTAAGATTTACTAGCACATGTCCTAGGATCTGTATGGTTGATCTTGTAAGTAACCAAATTCTTTTTCGATTTGGAAGACCAACGGTTGTTTACTAATTTTCACGGTAAACAAATTGGCACGCCCAGTGGGACAGTGCTAGTAGTTTTCTTTTCAAAACTTCGTCTTGTTGTTGTTCTCTTTGAAAACTTCTTTGTATGTTATTTAGAAGCGGTAAAGTAGCCACCATTAAAGAAGATAGACCAAGAAAAAGATATACTAGGAGAATGGAAAATTCAAATCAGCCAAATATTTCAATTCCTCAAAGTTCATCGAGTAACAATGGAGAACCGCCCCAAGTATCTTTGGTCGGGGGAACAACAGTTCCAGCGACTATGTTAGAACCAATGCCATCCATGGCAAGTTTGATACGCACGCAGTCAATTACTCATAGTGAGCCCATTCTAAATTATATTGGGTCAAGGGGTCCTCCAGTAACCCATTCACCAATGGGGAATGCTTCGAGTAGGCCCTTCATGCCCTCAGGTTTCTCTATGTCCTTAGGCAGTCGAGAACAACCTTATGGAATGCCAACATGTATGATGGAGAACTTAAATAACACCGTCTCAACATTCTTAGAACCAATAATGAATGTTACTTCGCCATTACAAGGACCAGGATTTGGGATAAACATGGGTCAAAGTAGCCAACCTTTAGGAATTGGTTATTCCACCCAAATGCCAAACTTGACTAATAATTCTACAACGGTTATTAGACAACAAATGGATGAGAGTAATTACGAAATAATCCAAATGTTGGCCCAAATAATGGGGATGATTTTTAATCCCCTAATCCAAAGCACTACTCAATCCAACCAACAAATGACAACGCATATGACACACCTTGCGGATTTTTTCTAGTGCCACAACCTTCTCGACATCCACAGAGAGAATACATATTGGTGAATTAGGGAATAATCCTCGAAGAAGATCCCACCATTAATCAAGTTCAACCAAACCAAAGAGACTCACCCCATGTAATCTAGCCAATGCAAGAGTAGCGGTCGAACTGCCTAGAGTCGAACCTCTCAGAGCCCAACCTCAAATTTCCATTGAGGAGAGACCAAAGGTAGTAATGGTGGATATGAATTAAAATGATGATAACATTGTACAGCAGATTCGATGTGAAGATATGGCCGCAGATGACAATCTAGCAGACATGGTCGATAGGATAATGGCGCGAAATAGGGTAAACTTTGGTCTTTGAAGACCAAACTATACTTCGCCATTATCAGAGTATATTTTACAATTAGATTTTCCTCATAGATGGAAAGTTCCTAAGTTCACTAAATTTTCTAAGGATACCACTGAATCCACTGTCGAACATGTGGCTAGGTACTTGGTAGAGGATGGAAAGATTTCGAATAATGAAAATCTTAGGGTAAAATACTTCCCAAGCTCTCTCACCAAAAATGCTTTTACATAGTTTACAACCTTGCCACCAAATTCGATCCATAATTGGACTCAGTTAGAAATATTGTTCCATGAAGAGTTTTATATGGGACAAATCAAGATTAGCCTGAAGGAATCGACCAGTATTGTCACAGTGAGAATCGGATATCAAGCCATTAGTTAACTTGAATCACAAATATTTGAAATTCACCACTGAACTTTAATTTATCCAAAGGAAAGGGTAAAGATCGAAAACCCTAATTGCAACGTAAAAATAATGCAAGAGATCTAAGGTTTGGGGGGTGGTTATACCTATGGAAGGTGTTAGCATCCTAAGTATCTGTAGTACTCTACAGGGACCTCTTGTTAGTATTGTGTTATATGTTAATTTGTTAAGTTGTCTGCTAAAAGGTAAATAGGTAAAGGGAGATCTAAGGTGTTATTTCTAAGTATGCTTATCAAGACATTGCATCTCGTGCCTACGTATCCTAACGGGAATGAAATCAAAGCATTTGTAGTTCCCCTTAATAAGGGCGAGGAACTCTTGACTATGGTCAAGGTTCCAAGGGGGAGGCAAGTATTCATGGCAAGACATTTACATGGAGTGCGGTGACTCCAAATCTAAGGCTAGGTTGAAAGGGAAAATAAGTGTCAGTGGCAGAACACCTACATGGAGTGCGGCGACTCCAATCCTAAGACTAGGTTAAAAAGGAGGTAAGTGTCCACGGTAGGACACTCACATAGAGTACATCGACTCCAATCATAAGGTTATGATAACGGGGAATAACCTAAAGTTAGGCTAAGTATGACATGGCAGTCAACAAAAGAGATCTTTTCCTTTGGAATCGGGCAGCGGGCATCAAGCAACAAATAAAATCGAAAGTGCATACACACGCAAAAACATCAATAATTACTCAAGCGTAAAAGTATGACAAAATTAAGTGGTAAACAAAACGAGGCAAAGAAAGCCTAAAATAACAAAATAAAAATATTTTTTAGACTTTTTATATCATTAAAAAAAAAACTAATACCTAGATAAACTATCAATATATATATATATATATATATATATATATATATATATATATATATATATATATATATATATATATATATATATATATATATATATATATATATATATATATATATATATATATATATATATATATATATATATATATATATATATATATATATATATATATATATATATATATATATATATATTACAACTTTTAATATCATGGAATTAATCTAACCTTTTATTATCTTAGAA